AAGATTTGGGAAACCGGAGAAGTGGACAGGAAAGAAAGTAAAATTATGTTGAAGAAAACCCGAAAGACTAGAGATAAAGCTCAATCACATGAAAATGTTTTGAAAAATCAATAAAATAAGTTAACAGAAAAATGTGAATAAAACAAAACAAAAATAAAAACAGAAAAGCAAAAACAAAGAAAAAGACAATAAAAACAACAAAAACAAAGAAAAAGACAATAAAATTATTTTGATTTTCTCAGTTCTGTGGTAGTGTCCAAGTAGCAGCCCAAATCCATGCTGGATAACCCCTTCAAGTATGCACTAGGATTAATAGTTCTGGGTGCGGTGCTTATCTTGGTCTCTAGAAGTGGTTGCTGAGTCCAAAGTCTTTAGCCAGCAACTTTCTGGAAAATCCTGCATGACCCACCTTTTTCTCCTTACCCCATTGTCCTCTGTATCACTCTCCCATTTGCTATGTCACATTCAGAGACAGACTGAGGCTGCTCCCAGTGGCTGTGCAGTTGGCCCCCTCAGCCCTTGCCCAACCTCTTCTGTTCCATTCTGCTCTGTCATGTTTTTCCTCTCTCATGCCACTCAGCACAGGGTGGTAGGATAGCTGTATGCCAAGTCACTGCTCCTGTAACAGTACCAGAGACGGCTAATGGCTGCTTGGGTCCCACTTCTCTCCTCTCTTGTACCATTGGGTGCAAAGAAGGGGAATTCTGATTTCTCACTCAATATCCTGACACAGCTCAAGGGTACTTATGTCCCACATATCTCCATTTTATGCCCCTGGAGGCAGGGTAGAGGGAATGGTGGTGTTTCACTCAGTACTTTAACAGCCACTAATGTAGTCCCTAGCCTTTTTATTTGCTAGATGTTCCAGTTGGTCTCTTTGGTGCATGACCAATACAAGAAAAAAAAAAAAAAAGAAACCTTATGGTCCATTGGAAACAAGCATGTTCCTCATCACTCATGCCAGTATGTGCCCATAAAATTTGCTACCGTGAAAAGATGTCCTCTGTTTGGAGGAAAGCAAAAGAGCTGAGGGGTCCATATCAAAAATTTCTTCTGTGTGGCTTTGGTTTTCCACTGTACTATAGTCCATCTGTTGTTTGGGAACTTCCCAGATGGCACTTCATGGTCTGTGTGCAGGTAGAGGTCCACAGGCAGCACCATGGACTGCTTCACCCTTTTATAAGGTCCCATGGCTGTGCCAAACATAGATCCTCTTCTATTTATCCATGTGGGATACCGTGATGCTTAGGTTTTGAAGAACATTTTTTGATAGTACATTGAAGAAAAAAATTCAATATCAAAGTCAATTAAAAGAAGGTAAATTTACAATATTTGTTTTAGAGATCCTAGAGGATTTCAGAAAATGGAAAGATATCCCATGCTCCTGGATAGGAAGAACCAACATTGTGAAGATGGCCATACTCCCAAAATT